TTGTTGTTGTTTTTTAATGCATAATTTTGATGTATAATACAAGAAGATCTCAGCTTTTCCTGAGAAATTAATTCCACACTAGTGGAATAACTTCAAGCAATGCCGCTGTTACAAACAGGGAAAGTGCTTTGCACAGGAAATTCCATGGCCCAGTACCCGAGTGGGGGGCTGTCCTGGGTCCAGCTGGGATAGGGTTAATTCTTCGCAGAAGCTGGGAGTTGGGCATAGCCGGATATTCGATACCATGCTGACGTCATGCCCGGGATATAAGGGGAAGCTAGCCGGGAGAGGGGTCTCTTTTGTGAAGCTCGTGGTGGTGAGATTTTCATTGTATCAGTGTTTCCATTGTACTCTATATACTGTCTTATTGTTATATTCTCCTTTCTTTGGTTTTCCTCGTGTGGTATTATTAAAAATCTGTCGTTATCTCAACTCACGAAGTTCCACTTTTTCCTATCCCTCCCCATTTTACCGGGAGGGGAGTGGGAGGGGGGAGGCGGTGTTGCGACCACGTGGTGGTGGTGGTCCTGACACCAAGACAATATTTTGGCGCTCCAACGTGGTGGCAGAAGGGTTGAGATAACGACAAGTCTTACCAGCACGTGCTTTAATAATTTGTTATACTAATTTCTTGTATTAGTTAAGCAACCAGAGAAAACACTATGATAACCAAGAAGTTAGTGGCAAAAAGTTTTTTCCATATATTTTCCTGTACAACCCAAAGTGTGCAAAACAAGGCTGGGGAGAAAAATCACACTGCCGTAACGTACACAGTGAATGGGAAGAACATGTGTACAGACACAAAAAACAGACAGGTTTTCTAGAACTAAGACCTCAACAAGTGAGTTTAGAGAAATGTCTCCAGGCATAGCAAGACAAGAGAATAAGAAAAAATATTTAAGCTACTTTAAATTTGTGTATAAACATTCAATTCTCATTGGAAAAGCAAGTAGGTAAGGGAAACACACAAATTAAGTCAAGTCAGAAGTCATTAAGCAATGGACCAGCATTCAGGTTGGTTTTGAGTAACAGTCAATAGTCCATGAATTACCAATGTAGACTATCTATGCAGTCACCACTTTCTTCCAATCATAAAAAGTGCATGTTTTACCCTCTCAAGAAAATTTCCGTCTTTTATAGATCCTAAATTGCATTCTGTCGATAATAGCATGGAAGTTTTATTAAATACATTCAGTGGAAAAAAAATCAACATCAAAGAAATTAATCCCAAATGACTCATTTCTAAAGTTCACCTTATCTAAGGCACAGGAAAAAAAAAAAATCCTGACATAGCACTCACCTAATACCTGGAAATTTCATGCTGCTTTGAAAAAACACAACACAGAGACTGCTTTTGGCTATGGGTACTTAAAAGAGTCAGGGCTTTTTTCTGTTCTGTCTCCTTTGTCCCACTTCATGCAACACAGTGTCTTCCCATATGTCTTAGCAACACTGAAAAGCACTAACAGAAGGATTATCATCTTCCCCCTCTCCCCAGCCCCTCAAGATGAAAGGCTCCCGTGCCTTTTAATTATGATTTGCAAGTCTATTTACATTCTTACGTTGGAATATTCAAAGGTAGTAAGTATTCACCTTGTCTAGGCTAGCTTCCTATGGCCACAGGCAGAACTAGGAACAGCAGAGTTGCAGGTCACTCTTTATCACACATTTTGAGCTTAAGAGCAGAGGGCCACCCCAGAAAATTCGCAGTTCAGAGGATTTGGTGTTCCTGAATAAAACACTGGACAATAGACACACTGAACTGACAGTATAGCTCTGGCACAAAATACCAGGCACAGGTACTAACTTCTAGGACTGATAAATCTCTTTATATTTCTAGGTTGTTTCTTTTACAGGTTCCTATTCAGAAACATAAACAGTTTGCATAAGAAACTGTTCCAGAGTACTCGTACAAAAACTGCTCCTCCTCATTTGCTGACCCTAGCCCAAATCTGTGTTGAGAGGGGCAGGAGTAAGAAATCTCAGGAAAGAATTTTTATGGTCCTTATTTTCAAGCCTTTTGTCTGAGTAGATTTGGACCATAGCAACAAAAAAGTTCTGATGTACCTTCCTGTTGTTTGCCTGATAACTGAGAATTAGTTTCACCTGTAGAAGGAGAACCAAGCTCAAAGGGACCAGCAGCTGGGCATATCACAGCCCCATAGAGTGCCCAAACTTACGTGCTAGAGCACGAGTTACTGAACCAGTTGAATTAAAATTGTAAACAGCTGCAAACAAACTTGTGCAGATGTTACTCACGTATGTTTCACACCCCTAATTTGCAAGTCAAGTAAATGACAATATTTATGCACTGTAAGTATGTAATTATGTTGCTACAGAACATAATATTCCCCCTGTAACTCCGGTTCAGAATAAAGAGATTTAATTCACTTAAAAGCAGAATTCTAGTTGAGACTTTACACGCCTATCATAATGCACGCACTACTGCAACTTTTATGCTCATTATTATGTGTGTGAACAGTCAATTATTTCAGTGAGACTCCTTATATTAAAAGCAGTTTTTAGAAACCCTGTTATGCCCTAAGTTAAAATGTCTGTAATCTTTTATTACACGTATGCTCAAAGTTTCAAGAACTGGACTTTAACATTAGAGTACAATGGTCAAAAGCACAAATATGGGTGAGAGTCCTGCTGACTATGAACCGGAAAAAATACTTCAGCTTTCTGGATCTACTGAAGTTTAATAATATCACCTTTACTTCCTGAGTAACAGAGCCGTTTACTTCTCAGCTCAGTGTGATGCAAAGTGCCATACCTCTAACATCAGCACCTAGCAGAAAATAATTACTACTATGTCTACTAGTTTATAGAAAAAAAAAATGGTGATGAGACACTGAAGAAGTTCCAGAGACTTTTTTTTTTTTCTGATCATTTAGTTACGGTCAGGTTAATACTTTTAGTTCATTTTTTTCATTCCCAGAATAAAAATTCCCTTAAGATGCAGCTGAGATTAAGAGTCTATATCTATAGTTCAGGAAGAAAATTAGTGTCTCTAATTACCATCAGAACAAGCTTTACAAGCTTTTTTAGTAACTCCATATAACAGCCATATGATTAAGGAACACTAAAGTTTAAAATCTGAATTGCAATTATAGCCATCTCTACTTCTAGGTCCATTATATCACTATGGGGTCAAAAAGGCTGTTTAAGTCTCACCTTTCCCATTTGAATTAAGTTTATTCCCAAATGAGAATTTTCTAGAGTTGAAACTATTTTCTCTCATATAGTATATTATTTCTGTAAGGTTTTTTCCACATAATTTTGCAATATAAAAATTTGAAATTAATTAAAACCATTTTCATATAAATCTTCAAGTATTTAAAGTATAAAAATCAAACAACACATAAAATGCTATTATAGAATATTATTCAAATCATATAAACAAACACTAAAACATTTCCATATTTACCAGAACAACTACAGCTGTTTTATGCATAAAAGGTACAGTTATATTTATGATCCATGTGCTTTTGTTTCTCAGTCAATTGTAACATGTTCACTGATAGGAAGCTGACTTTAAAAAAAATTATTATTTAATCAGCAGAACCTGAAGAACTCTCATCTTCAATAAACACTATTTCAGTTCTGGAAAGACCCTCCTCACTTATTGATAGCCTAACTTCAAACTCTGGAGACAAGAGTTCGCAGCCAAGAGCTCCCCATTCTGTTCAAAGTCACAACGCAACGTGAAGCGATACCTCTTTCCAAAATGGCATTACAACTGACAGTTATTGGTCATGTATCCTCCCAAATGAAAATACTCCCTTGCATGTTTTAAGAAATAAAGCAAATTTGTCCTCCCTCCTCCACCCACAAATCCACATTTTAAAATGGAAAATGATTATATCAACACAGCTGCGAGATAATAGATATGGTTCTGGAAAACCAAAAAAAGCCTTAAAAAATTTCTTCCAGTGAAACCATCATTGGCTACCTTTGTGAGACATTTTACAGTATGATTTAATTATTAGAATTCTTTAGGGAAAATAACTAAACAATTTAAAAAAAAATCTTTAGAGTTGTTAAGACTGCTGAACACATTCTGACACATATGAGAGAGTTTCTTTCATAACATGCAACTGCCAGGCCTTGCAAAACCTATGGAATTCAAAGGGAAAGCAGAAACACAAGTGTATTTCCCTCTCCAGTTCCCTCTTTCTCTTATTATACCAGTTCTGTATTGCAACAATGGTGAGACAGACACTCTCTTCACCAGACAACAGCAATGTGTTATGCAAGAAGCACATGAAAAGGCCTCAAGCATTAGAAATGGATATCCTGGACACTCAGGTCATAAAAAATGCATTTAACGGAGATTACATGGATCCCACCATTGCAAACTTTCACTGAATAGCTGAACACAAATTTTGCTGTATGCACATTTCTAAAAGCCGCAAAATACTGAGTAACCTATAATAACAGGTAAGATAAACCACACCTAGCATCAACAAAATGAATAAGCACCATTCACAGTATGAAAGGGCAAATTCATACTGAATACTACCCAGTCTGGGCATATGGGCGTGGGATCGGGGGTTACTTTTTCAACTTTTCCAAACGCTATAAAGGCACTTGTCCTTATAAAGACTATACAAATGCCAAACTTGAAGCTTTCGGGAAGGCTGAGCCCTATAATGAGAGATATTTATTGGGAGAGCAAAGAAAGATGAAGAAAAAAAACACACAGTATTTAATGGTGCTTTGCTTTACAATCATCTAGAAGGGAATGCATCTAAGTTTGTGCATTACCATTGTGCAACCACAGACTTTGATATAGAAAGTGAAATTCCCAGTAATCAATACAAAAATTTTGCACTCGAAAGTTTTATTTTTACAGATATAATCTCAAAAGCCAATCAACTACCTCAAGTTCAGATATAAACTAGGACAAAGCCCTGTTACATATATAGGAAGACACATCAATACTGAGGAGTTAATTAAAATAAGAACTTTGTGTTGGTCTCAGTACTATCACTCACCCGCTTTGGCCCACTAAAAATCTTCCTGGTGTTTTCCTTAGATTTATCGCCTTGTTTATTTGTGGATTTCTTATTGCCTTCAGGCACACCAGAGGCATCTTCTGAAAACTCCAGAAGATCTGTAAAAGGTAAATACAGACGTGAAACAACCATCTTGAAAGCTGTTGAACTGCTAGAGCATTTCTTGCATCTGACATTTCCACATATAGTTTCTGAAATTACGTAATAAACAAATAATCCTCATCAGAAAAGTCAGCTTTAAAGACAAACAGTTCCGGACAGAGCTCAGATTTACGGACTGGACTATCATAATACATAAAAGATACAAGGTACACAGACACAATTATTATAGCATCTCTTGCCCATTGGATAAGTTTCAAGTTATTATTTCCCTTTTTATACTCCTGTGAATCCCAGGTTACCTTTTATATGTGCTTACTTATGGCTTACTGCTACAACTCTGAGCAACAAATGAATTAAACAGTAGATGGGGTTCTTAAAAAGTGAGAGATTAAGAGATACAGAAGAATAACTCTTCCCACTAGAATTACACAAGTGAAGAGTTGATCTTACCTCACTTCTCATGAAGGCAGACTATTTACATTTGCTTATTCTGCTATAAACAGTATTAAAAATATATGGTCATCAGCTCAGAAAGGAGTCAGCTGGAAGGAACTGCCAAAACGGCCTTTCAATGTATTCAATATCTGCCTCAGCAGTAGCTCTAGTACTCAGTTTTGGACTGTAAATCTGCAATTCATTGATCTAATTAAATTCTTGTCCTATTTTATTTTCTTTAAACTTGTGTTGTATCTGAAGCATTACTCCTTGGAGATCAGTTTATGTTCTTTTACTTGGAACAAACCAAGAGCCACTATAAATTTCAAAATGGAAATAAAGACAGGCACAGAGAAGCACTGTTTCATCTAATAAACAGTTTAGAAAACCAATCTATTCTAGAGAAGCTGCCACTATTTGAAAACAGCACTGCAAAAATACAAGCAGGTTCGATCAGTTACATGGACTCACATCCAGCAAACAGGACTGGCCAAGAGCCTAGGTAAGGAGACAGCCAACAGCAAACCCGGCATGCAAATTCCTAACGCCACTTGCAAGGACACAAAGCTTATCTAGTCTGGGAGATCATAAGTATTCTTAAAAGAAAACTAAAAGTTTCTTAAATTGCAGTAAATTTCATCGATGTTGGCAGCACCAGAGCAGGCAGGATGCAAGGCACTTACGGGAACCAGCCCCTTGCATCGCAGCCCACAGGTTTTCAGCCTACCTGCGCCACATCTGCACAATAGCTTAAAAACATAACATGAAAAATCCCTCTGAAAATGACTGACTTTATAAGATTTTTTTGATAAAATTAGTCTAACAGAGTAAAAATATTACAGACCACTTCTCATTAACTTTCATAAAGCAAAACTACTTCCAAATCAATATAAAAGTCAACTTGCTATTTTGCTAGAATGCAACAATTAAAGGAGTCAAATCAAATTGCTTTGATACACATCCTTACAAATCCTGAGATACTTTTGAAGGAGCCAGGCCCTAAATGCAATTCCCAAAGAAAGTCAAACCAGGAGAACTGGACCCTCCTATTGTAGATCAAAAGCTACAGAGTAACTCATTTGACTACAGTAATTAAAAACATGCAAGTCACTCTAGAAATGCAAGATGTCACAAGATCAGCTGCTTCCGAGCCGACCCAGCTCTGACAGACTGACCCATCGCGAGGCACATGGGGGTTTTCGAGAGATTCCTTCGCCAGAAAAACCCCGAGACAGCAGTGTAACACCACTTGCTCTGCCAGCTCTCGGGAGAGACTGACATAGCACGGGAGTTACCGGAGCAACCGCGACCACACCCCCCTTCCCGTCCTTAAATTCTTACCGGGAGGGCAGAGAGCTAGCTCTCCACCCGCAGAGAGCACCCCGCAACACACTACAGCGGCAGACGGGGCGGCTCGTGTAGCGGGACGCTGAAGTTCTGCCAGGTCCAGAAGCCCCATAATGCAGCCATAGGAGCACAGAGAGCAGGCAGGGTTCCTCTGAGAAGGAGGGAAGAACTACAGACCAGGAAAAGCACAGACATCCTGCCTGAACCTCCCGTCAGAATGGCAGGCACTCGAGCTAAGGCTGCAGCTCTGGCTAAGGGGTCTGCACCATCTTCCCCTGCTATGGCCGATGCCTCCATGCAGTCAGAGCTTCAGATGGCACGGGCAACCGTACA